TATATATATATTCTTCTACATCGGACCCCAAACCCAGACTTCCCCGGACCCCAGTTAGTGCACCACCAAGGCAGCAGCTGAAGACCCCCCCCAGCACCACCACTACCCCTCCTCCTCTTTTATGATATGGGAAGCAGCACGCGTTGACGTGTCGCGCTGCGCTTCCGACCGCTAGTATCGGCATGCGTCTTGTGCACACACGCACAGTGTTCTCATGGGGACATGCGGCCAGCAGAGCCAGCCACGGTAAGTGGAGCCACTTTTCATAACGACGCTTTCTATCTCCGGGGAAGGCACAACAACTTTCGCCGGCCGTTAGTGTTGCTGCTGCTGCCTCAGCCCGTGCTGGAGAAAAGCAACTTTAATAGACTTTCTTTCACTCTCTCTCTCGTTTGTCGGCACCATTCCGTTCACAGCTTTATCCATGCAGATTGCGCAACGCGGAGTGTGATCGGACGGGAAACCGTGAAAACAATACCGTGCTCTTGTTGTTGTTATTGTTATTAATGTTATTTATTGTTATTATTTAACACCGGTTTCCTCAAGTGAACGCTCACGCTGACCAAAGCCCACCTCATCACCTCGGCTGTGCTCTGCTTTTGGCCATGCGGGGCTTCTCCATGGAGCACATTTCAGTCTCACCACTTGGTTAACAAAAAAAAACCAGAGGGGCATTTTTACGCACTTTTTAAAAAAACCCAAAGACATATCTTAAGTGCTGCTCAACATTCAAGTTGTGTTTTTCTTTTTGTCAACTTGAATGTTTAGTTACTTTGAGTGCCAAGTGTGGTACTCGGTCCTGCGAGTGTGTGTGTGTTGGGGGGGATGGGGGGGGCAATGCGCAAAGTGTGTGGTCTCCAAGCTCTCCACCCACGCAGAGACGCACGGTTCGTGCGCGGGCGCACACGCCTGCACATGCACACACACAGACTACAAGTTGTGTCTGTGTCGGTCGGGCATGGATGTCTCTGAGTCTCAGGAATGCGCCCGGCGTTTTCTCTCTATTTTTCACATTAAGTGCAGTTTGGAAACCGCTCTCAAAGCCGCTCTCAGAACCGATGCCACCGCTGTCAAAACTTTGACACCAAGGCACGCAAATCCGGTTGCGAGTTTCAGAATAAGAGCCGCACAAACTCGCAATATTTACCCATATCATATCATATCATTTTTTTTCCTTTCCCATATTGGCTGTCAGTACATTATATATACCGTATTTATGCTTATAAATAAGATTATAATATAGTTAATTCTATATGTTTGCTTTGAAATTACTTTACAGCTTAATTAATAAATAAAATAATTCAGCCATTCTACTATCAATTAATCAAGTCGCCTATTGAGTTAATATGAATAATGACATGTTTGGACTGCAGTTATTTTTGGTATTACTAAATATATATCATATTATTCATTTCATATTACTAAGTATGCTCGTCTCTATATTTAGTTTATTTCAAACCACAAAAAACGAAAGAAAACAAAAAAGAAAGAAAAAACTCTTAAACACATAAAGTTCCCGGTTTGTTCCGGGTGAAATTCATCACGCTTTACACTAAAGAGGGAAGGGAGGGGGGTAGCCCCTGCCTGGAGAGGAGAGAGGGGGAAATTCTTGTGTTTTTGGTATGCGATTACCCAGCGGAGAACCCATGACTGAAAGGGAGGAGGAGGACCGGGGTTGAATTTAGGATACATTCCTTGCCTTCCTTTTTACGGTAACCACATTATTGCTGCTGCTGACATGCTGCCTCCTCACATGACACCCCTAAGCTCCCAGCTGATGCGTTACAACTGGACAAAGCGAGTCAGATGACCTCAGCACGTATGAGTGCAGGAGAACTACAAATGTCGATAATAATAATAATAATAATAATAATAATAATAATGTTAATGAGTTTACCTCAGATGTTTAGCTGAGTCAAATGATTTAGAGAACGTGTAAAAATGACTCCTTTGGAGATTTTTAATAAGACAAAACCTGATTTTATTTGTAGAATTGCATTGAGAACTTGTTAACTTTAAGGTAAACTCTGTTTGATAAATGTCTGATATGTTTAAAATTATGGGGAATTCCTGGCTTAAAATGACCACTTAGAGAAATCGTATTCAGTTCTTGCTAGCTGTAACAAGCCTTATTTAAGGGGTTCCTCTTAAAGGATACATTGGTGATACAGTGTAGCTTTTCTGGATAGGAAAGCCTGTCACAAAGACACAAGGTAACAATTCATAAAACAGGCAATGACTTAGGGTGTAATTCACCTGTAATTAAATGGAATTTCAGTGTATTTTGTTTGAAATTACAATGTAATTTACTTATTTAAAATACTTAGAGTTAGTAGGGTAACAAATCAGGTTTTTACAGGAAACAAGTAATTATACTTTAAGTCATTTTAAGTAATGCGGAAAAACAAACAACATCTCAAGCATGCTGTACTGTTGGAGGCGACGGCCGTATTATGAAGTGTCATAACCTTGCCCAACTTCTGGGTATTTTACAGAAAATTAGGTAAGTAATGTACAGCGTGAGTGAAATAAAAAGGCCGACTGAATAATAGAAAATCATTCATGCACATCAATGTAATGATTATTAAATAACGAAGAAAAAGAAAGATGGGCATGGTCAAGTCACCCTACCATACAGCCCGTGCCCCAAAAAGTACAGCATATTTACAATATAAAATGAGGGAAAATACTTTTTTGTTTTCCGCTAAATTACCAGAAAATTACGTACAAATTCAAATTACTTACACACTACTTACTTTGTTTCTTGTAAAACCTTTACTTGTTAACACCTTATTCTATTGGACCTACCTTTAAGGGTTTTTAGGTAAATGTAATGACATTGTAATTTCAAATAAAACACCTTGAAATTGCATTTAGTTGCAGGGCAGGACATGAGCAGGGTTACATCACAAGCTTTTTGCCTGCTTCATGCATCGTAGCGGGTCATGATGTAGGCAAAAAGCATGTGATGTAACTGTTTTCCAGCAGCTACACTTGTGCTGCAGTACTTGGGAAGTTTAAAGACCTTTTGCTCCTTAAAAAAAATAAATCCATAACCGTTCTCCAATCTGACCCCTCCCCTTTCTGATAATTCGAACACGGTCCCTTAGAAAAGCGGCCTGGTTCATTATTTCAATCAATTTTCCTTTTACCGTTAACGTCTGCCTACGAACCCACAGGTGGTCTCGCACACACACACACAGACTCTCTCCGAGGCCGGCTCAAACGTCAGAATTTTAGAAATACAGCCACATTACATCTGACATATTAAATGGAGCTTGCCAAATTTGCATAAAACCAGCAGAGCTCTGGCTGGCTGTTCTTCAGCGTCTCTGTCGAAGCCATAATCGCCCACTCGCTAACGACAATTACTATAATGGACTGATTGTTGGATTATACCACCAAAGTGGTTTTAGCACACATCTGCATAATTGTTCTTAGCATATACGCGCTCGTGGGCTCCTGGCTGCCATTAGCTGCTGCAGAGAGGAGGGTGATTGAGGAGTTGTTGAAGAACGGCAGTAAATTGTGTACCAACTGTGTGGGTGTTTTTCCAACCTGGATGAGAAATGCACTTTTAAAGCATCGTCTAGTTAAAGATCAGATTTAGATTAGAGCTGCTGCTGGCTGGTAGAGCTGCTCTGCATGGGGGGCAATCCTGTTGCAACCCCAAGGGGTCAACTCACGGTCCTTGAGCAAGGCACTAAACCTAGAAAATGCAGGCCACTGAGTGAAAATGCATGAATCTGAGGGACATTTGGGATAAACAGCAGCGTCCTGAGTCAACTTTATAAATAAAAGTTCAGTAATGAAGGTTATGCAAGGAAATGTGTCATGTGGTATGATTGATGTGAGGAAGCCCAGGGCCAATCGGTGACAGGACGCGTCACCGCTCCTGGATTATCAGTGGGGTCGTTCCAAGACTTTCCCACACTTCAAGTCCATCATTTCTGACTCTTGATTTAAAAGCGACTATTAAACATACGTTCAAAATTCGATGCAACAGAATGGCTTTCTACATCAAAATGTCCTGCCGTTTTAGTGACGTCGACGTTAAATATCAAACATTACTCATGCTTTGAAAAGTCAACGCAGCCAGCCCAAGGAGTGCGCTGACTTTGGTGGCTCAGCCTTTGATATCCAGCGCTGGGAAACAAAGTCGCGCTCCCTCTTTGTCAGAAATCACATTAGTGAGACTGAACGTCACGTGACCAACAGATGGACAGACACATCCGTAGTACATGGGGGACTGTAAGCAGCATGAGCCAGATCAACAGCTGAACCCAGCTTTCCACTCGCAGTCTCTGTATAAACATGCAGCGAGGCTTCAGGAAAGGAAGGGAGGAGGGGGTGTGGGGGGTGCTGGATAGAGCAGCAGTGAGAAAATCTGCCCAGATCCTTCCTCCAAAAACGCCAACTGATGATTTCTTAATCAAATTGAGCAGTGAAAGTTTGCCCCCCCTTTCCGGCCTGCAAGGACACCTGAAACCTGCAGCGCGGAGGCCGCTTCATGTCCTCCTCATCCTCCTCTCATTCCCCATCTCTTGAAAACAGGCCAACATCCCACACAGACAGAATCATGCTCCCTCTTCCTCTCCGCTTTTCTCTGAACAGCACTCTGTGCTAATTACTCTCCGTTTCCATGGCAATGGGTAGCACCTCGGTTTTTTTTCCTGGTGTTTTTTGTTATCTTGGATAGCCCGTCACAAACATGCCTCGCATCTCTTCATTTGATGGAGGCCACGGTTTACGTTTCATCTCGGTGACTTCGAACATAAAGCTTTTATGTTTTTTTCATGCTTGCGTTTTATAACAGTATCAGTCTGTCGTCACTGACATGCACTGATTTTACATTTGATCAAGTAGATATAAGAGTTAAGAGTAATCATGTACATGGCTGCTATTTATCTGCAGGCAGTTTAATTTGAAATAGTGCTAAAGGGACATTTCACCACAAAATGAGTTTATCCATATAGAAAGTGTTGATGTAAGATGCCTTATGAATGTGGGGTACTTTCAGCTGCTCCCTTTCACAGCAGATGGATCTGCGTGTTTGGCTTGGCACAGATTTTTGTTTTGTTTTGTTTTACACAGGATACACTTACTGACACAACCCTCCCGTTTAGCTGGGCTCGGGATCAGTTGAATAAGGGGACACTAACGATCTCCTCCCAGTCTCAAACCAGGGATCCTAACCGGAAAGAAACAAGAATGGCGTCCCCCACTTCCCTTCTCAGCTGAGCTGCAATGTCAGCTAGCTACTACTTTTGGTTTGTGGATGAAACTGCTCACACCAAGCTAAATTTGTTTGAATCACTATGTCCATATTTCTGGAAATACACACCGGATTTCTTACAGTGCTTTGAGTGCCATTTGGCGTGACGTTCACCCCCAAAAAGATCCCTTTAAACAGGACCTGCAAACCTGCTACTTCCAAGTGCCAACTCACTATGGTAACCCAATATTCCTGCAAATATTTGGGGGGTTTTGTGTGCAAACAGATTCATGGGCAGTCGTGAAACTCTGAGGTCTATACAGATTTTTGCAGTTCTTGTGGGTTCTTGCAGTTCACTTCATTTCAGTTTTTTTTATATAACCACAAATCACAACACCAGTCGCCTCAAGTCGCTTATATTGCAGGGACCCTACAATAAAACAGAGTAAACCCCAATAATCAAACAACTCCCTTAGAGCAAGCACTTTGGCAACAGAGGGAAGGAAAAACTCCCTTTTAACAGGAAGAAACCTCCGGCAGACAGGACACAAATCAAAGAGATTAATCTTCATAATGTTTAGCGAAGAAATCTCAGTGTCCTGATCTTCCATCCATCCATCCATCCATTCGCTTCCGCTTCTCCTTTTCAGGGTCGCAGGGGGCGCTGGAGCCTATCCCAGCTGTCATAGGGCGAGAGGCAGGGTACACCCTGGACAGGTCGCCAGTCTGTCGCAGGGCCAACACACAGAGACAGTAAGGGGTAAGGGGATGGTTACTATGAAACAAGTCAGAAAAACAGGAGGAGCAAGGAGAAGAAGCAAAGTGAAAAAAAAGCTTTTGAGTAAAATATGAGGCATGGAAGGGGATTGAGAGAGTGAGAACCTGAGAAAACAAGGGGGGGGGGGTATCGTGGTCTGAGAGGCCCACCATTCATTACTTATTAAACAGAAAGGAATGTGATGCTTTTGTGTCAAGGCTGCAGTCGGCCATTTTTCATTTAAAGGTCTGAATTTGACACAGAGCTGCACAAATTTCAAATCTACTCGCCGCTTGCACTGTTTCCAGATCGAGCTCGCAGTTACTAAACCTGCTTTGTTGTTTTTCTGTAATCTGCATTTAAGTAACGTCAAGCTCTCACATCAAAAACGTGGTTGCACTCCATGACGCTAAAGTTCAAAAAAAAAAAGTGGGCTTGCTTCTCCTCCTTCGCACATGCCTTCATACCACATTATCTTCAATGACCCTGGGTTTTATGAATGGGCAGCAGGAAGCTCTGCCATTGGCTGACAACGACAGCCAATCAGGAAGGATAATTTTGCAACAGAAGTGGGAGTGGATGAATGGACAAGTCACACATTTTTAGAGGTCGGGGCCCTGTTTGTGTGTGTGTGTGTGTGTGTCTGTCACACACTGACCTACTTGGTTTATTGCTGGCATCTATACATAGCTGTGGGAAACACAAGCAGACAATCGGCCTGTTTAAAATTAGCAGTCAGGGCCACCTGTCTGTTTCTCACTGAAGCGGAAATGCCAGAGAGGGCAGAGAGGAAGGTAAAACAGGGTGGGAGTGGGAAGGGGTAGGGACGGAGGGGATATCGATCACTCCGCTAATTTAAATCTCTCTAGCTTTCTTTATCCCCTGCTGTGACACAGGGAGACATTGTTAGGTAGGCAGGATTTGAGGACCACTAGCAGGGGGTGGGTTGAGGGGGTTGGTTGGTGGTCCAGGCTATGTGGAATTCCTGTAGGGTTTTATATATAGGGAAATGAGAGCGAATAGTTACAGTTTAGTGTACTTAACCATACCGTATGTTAAGGAAAAGTGTGTGTGTGTGTGGGGGGGGGCAGAAGGACGAATGGAGGCGAAGTAGAGTAAAAAAGAAAAACCCTCAGCCCCCCACACCCTTTCCTCCCCCTACACTTTTTAATTTTAACCTTGTAGCACAAAACTGACATTTCCTCCCTCGGTCGTGTCAAACAGCCAACAGGAAGTCTCCGTCTTCTTAACTGACATTACAGCTGGCATCTTGTTTCCTAGAATCACGATTTTCAGCCCACACTTGGTTTTGTTCCTGTGCGCCTCCGCCAGAATAATAGTTTGTGGGTGTCGAGTGAAAATGTTTCAGAGAGGCACACTGTACTACACTGTCCAAAATACATACAGCACCACTTTTTGCCTGCTGCTGCTTTAAATGTTTGCCGTTGTTTGAGTATGAAACAAACAATAGTATAAAACTGTCCTCTTGCCACGGTTGCCGTTCTCACCCAGACATCTTTTTTTATTTCCAGGCCTCCTGTCAGACTGTCAAACAGAAGAGTCGACTCTCCAGAGAAAAGGAGGCGCGAAGTCTTCCAGTGTCCATCTGTGGCAGTCAAGATGGACGCCGACAACCAGTCTGAGCGGGCTCAGTCGGCCATCTTGTTTTCAGCGTGGGTGCAGAGGGACTGTGTGCTGCTTAAAAAGCAAAAAAAAAAAAAAAAAAGCGAGACAAAGAAGGAACTTTAACTCTTTTCCCACATGTACCTGAACCATTGTTCTTTCAGACACAGCAACCCCTATAGCCAAATGCTAACACACGTTCAATATTTAAAATACAGACGTATCTGCTGTGATGTCATTCACTGGTTTGTGAAACCCCTTTTCAAAGGTTCAACTTTAGCTTCAAGGCTGTCACCATTTCATTTTTGTGTACCTAGCAGTAATGAAAATAAGATAAGAAGATGGAGTGCTAAGTTAGCAAAATATATCTATAAAACTGCTAATCAGTACTAAGTAACAGACTAATAAAGAGCTAGAATTTCACCCACCAACACTAGAGCCAGCTTCGTGGATTGGTCTGTTAGCAGAATTTAACAATATATGAAAAAGCATCAACGGCCCAAACAGGTTAAGAGGCCCAGTTTTGATGCAGATTAACTAAAGTGAAGCCTAGCATAGAACTAGCAGCTACAGCTACATGTAGCAATTAATTTCTGCTGATGTGACCTCTAAACACTTTGATGCTTAGATCGTATGCATTTCAGAATTGAGTTTTATTCAGGCTGTGCTCATTTGCTAAGAGATTGAGATTTGTTAGCCAATAAGCAAGCAGTTTCACAGCGAGTCCCATCCCGTTTCGCCACAAGATGGAGACGGTAAAAATACTCATCTTGAGGCTTCAACGCGGGACTTTAGAAACCAGTACCCGGCATCACAGTGGCTACATCCATCTTTTATACTATCTATCACCGGCTTCCACCTGTCAGTCAAAAATTAGCAAAAACTTCCAAAAGTGTTTTTGTCCCAAGGTATAAACACGTTAATTTCTTCTGTACAGTTGGGCATTGTAAAATAGAAGTCAATAGGTACTGACTTCCTTTAGTAGATTTCAACATGAAGGACGTTATACAGATGTCAATAATTTACCATGTAAAGTAGAACTTGCTAAATAGGAAATGTTGCTGCTTGATGAAATGTCAAATCTATAGGATTCATCCTAAAGGGAACTATGAATTTTTGCGCTAGACAGTTTGCACGTTTGACAGTCAATACTCACTTTAGAATATAGTGAATCAGGCCCCGGTCACTCAGGTCTAGAGACCAGTCAGTGACCATCTGGCAACCTACAGTTGCAAAGCAAACTTTACAGCAGTCGCTGGGAAATTGATTGCTAAAGTCCCCAGTAACGCAGGCCTACAGACCAACGGTCGCTAGAAAACAATGCGTATTCCCCAGCTGTTTGGCAAAAGCTTGTGACTGCTCTGGCCCCTAGCACATTAAGGCAGTCATAGTTTGAATGGAAGTGATGGACTTACAAACACTGGCCAGCTGCTCTCCAACCTGTAGCAGAAGTGTGAAAAAAAAGTGCAACAAAAACCTTAAATGAAGACCGTCTGCCTTCAAAGTAAAAGTTGGCAGACCTTCTGCATTTTCAGTTTGCATCTTGCTTTTTTGAGTTTTTCTACCGCTCAGGCTAATAGTTAGCCAGTATGTGCAGACAAAAGTCGGAAAAACTCCAGTGACCGTGGCTATCACTGGGAGGTTTTTGGTGCAGCACCTTCTTTGCAACCAATATTGCCCAGCAATAGCCAGCAACCTCCAGGAACCACTGCCAATCAGCCAGGGAATACACATTTTTCCATGTCACTGGTGGTTATGTAACATCCAATATGATCAAGTAATTAAGAAAAAAAAAAAGATTAGACAATGAAACAAGTCTGTACAGGAGAAAAGAGACTAAGTGGTCTGGGACGTTTTCAGTGATTTACCCACAGTGGCTCGGTTAAATTAAAACACATCGGAAGACACGAACACCAAAAACAACTTCCTCGCTGTTGCAGGGAGTGTAAAAAGGGTTGTTGCACTACCAAAGGATCTTATGTGGGAAAATAGACTCCTGCAAACAACCTTTTTGCACGTTGTCAACAGAGGAAATTGGCAGGGTGAAGGTGCAAGCGGGAAAAGGGTGTCTGCCTGTTGCAGCATTGTTAGTGGCTCTGCTTCTATGTAAAATGAGCATGTTCAAGTGTATGTACCTCTCATTTTCAAGGACTTTGTGTTGGAGCACTATGTTAAAAAAAAAAAAAAAGTTTTCTCTTGTTTTTTTAATTTATTGGCGTGTGACTATGTCATTACAAACTGTATCCACATCCTCACCTGCATTACATCCGCAGCAGTCTGAAGCAGCTTGAAGTCGTTTCCCCTCCTCATCATTTCCTATCTCGGCTGAACAGTGGCTCCAGTTTTGGCTCCAGACGGAGCTGCAGAGCCGCAGGGCACCCAGCGGTTGCTCAGTAGTCAGTGTAGATCCTGTGGGGCTGGCAGCAGCTACATCTGGCTACTGGGTCTCTGCTGACAGCCGCCTTATTCTGAATACAATCTTTAGGTGATTTTTAATATATTTTGCTCTTCTTCTTTTTTTTTCCACTGGCATTTGAAATTCCTTATCAGCAGGATTAGTGTATTATTTCCTGTTTGAGTTTTCTGTGTAGCTTACACCCTTTTCCTGTGATCTCCTCTACTACGCACCTTTTAAATTTCTAAGAAGTGTCTCGAATAACCACCCACTGGGTGGAAAAAAGCCTCAGGCGGAGTTGATCCGAGGCCATGCGGGGACTGTGGAGTTTGTTTCTCGAATAAAAGTAAGAGAAATTCTGAGAACCTGGTTAAGTTCTGAACCTGGCATACAGTGTAGGAATCTGTGTGTGTCAGTCTACAGCTACATTGTCTGCTGGGTTTCAGGCCTCCACCCGACACCTGCATTGTTTCATGTATTTTTATTCCTACTGAATGTATACGAATGTGCTTTGTATGTTCCAGGAAGCCAAAAAACAACAACAACAAAAAACAAAACAAGAAAACTGCAGATAATTTGTCAACTTTGTGTTTATTGACTCATCATAAAACATTCTTCAAACAATAAAACAATTTTAAATGTCCGTTTCTGTACAACGCTTGCTAAGCAATTTATTTATATATATATATATTTATATTTATATATATATAAAATGTAAAAGGAGTCGTGTTAAAATGACAAAACTCCTTCAAATTTAATGGCAGGTACTCTGGAAAAAATAACAGCATTCCATCAACAAATATTTTCAAGCAATAAATATGTATTTATAAATAGTGTAAATTTACATCAAGATTAGAAACATAAAACAAAAAAACAAACAAAACAAAATCACAAATTAAACTTAATTCCATAAGTCTATGTGCAACCCATTTTCTTTGTGACTTGGCTAGTAAGTTTTTTTCCCTATTTTTTCTTTTTTTTTCCTTATTTTTTTTGTTTATTTTTTTGTTAAACCTAAGAAACAAAAACATCAAAGCTTTGAAAAGAACGAGACGAAGATAAAATACATAAAAGCTGTGAACAAAAAAAAAAAAAAAAAAAAAAGGGGGGAGAGGGGGGAGAACCTAAATTCACCTAAATTCTTCACATTACAAATTTTTTTAATTTTATTTTATTTTTTTGGTGGGTGGGGGTCAGGTAGGGAGGATTCTGCTTTTCCAAACTCTTAAAGTTACTATCTACCATAGAAAAAGACCAGTTAGGCTAGTGCTCCTTAAAGGGGGAGAAGAAGGAGGAGGGTGGACTGAAGAAATTTTTTTTTTGGAGGGGGAAGTTCTACCCCCCTCCACAAAAAGAAAAAAAAAAAAAAAAATCACCCAGTCATCGGAATAGAAAACAAGGAGAAAGAAACAAAGAGAGAGAAAGACGGGTTGTCAAGTCAGTAGTCTTTTACGGGTGGTGTTGCCAGTTGGGAGAGTTAACAAGTATCTACAAAACACCCCTGCCCCTTGTCCCCGCCCCCCACCCCACCTTCCCCTCCCTGTTCCCGATCATCTGATTAAGTCCTCAATTAAAACAGGGCTGAGCCATTGTCTCTAGAGGAGGAGTGGGGAGGGAGGAGAGGTGGGTGGGTGGCCTGGCAAGGCGGAGAACAGGAGGAGGAGGGAAAGAGAGAAAACAAGAGTCCTGTTATGGAGCTCGGTGTGGCGCCCTCTTGTGGAAGGCCCTCCGCCGGGCTCTTTGTACAGGGGTTGCATAGACAGACACGCTCCGCCGCCTCAGCCTCCAGCCGTCGCTATGGAGACCAGCCATACAGAAGGGGCGGCAGAGAGGGTGGGTGGTGGTGGTGGTGATGAGGGGGTCGGGTAGAGTCGGCCTTGGCTTTCCTGAATATCAGAAATGGTCCGTGTATGTTTGTTCTTTCAGTTTTTTTAGATCTCAGTACAAGTTCCTGTAAATGGGCTTCATGGCTCCACAGCAGAAGAAGAGTCGCCTAATGTCAAGACGAAGATGAATGAAGAGGAGGGGCCTGCGCAGAGAGAGAAGGAGAGATGGTACAGAGCGATTATTCCTCAAGTTCAAATCCTCTGCAGTGAGTTCCCGCCACTGCTGATGTTTCATATGGGCTAATATCGGCCCTGCTGGCCAGCTATCGGCAAATAAGATGGCACTTATCGGTTGTGTGTAAATAGTAGTGATATGAGCTTTGGGGCACTGACAAATCTAACGACTTACTAATGTGAACTGGTCGTAGACCTGCATCAGGTCCTCCATCCTGTACTGCTCCAGCACCACGAAGTCGTCCAGTGCGGCGCTGCCTTTTCGGGCACAATCCTGGCAGTGGACCACGCACTGCTTCTTGGACAGGAGCTCGCGGCGCACAAACAGCAGGTTGAACACTTCCACCTGTGGATCACACACACAAAAACACGCGTTACAAAACTAAATCCACAGGCTGAGTTTCTCTTGCAACTGTCTGCGATTATCACAGCAATTGACAAAAGACGCTTAATGGAAAGCTTTTCTAAAAAAGCAGCTGAAAGCCCCCCCCCCACACGCTTAAATACGAGCCATTAACGAAGCTGTTAATTAACGCAAACAAACACCGAGCCGGCTTTAATTCAGCTGATCGCAATAAGTGCTCATGCTGTCCAAAAACAACAACAAAAGAAGGAAACAGGAGGGGAAACGAGCAGGATTTAGCCTATG